TAATCATTTAAGTAATTTTTCAAGTAAAAATGCCAAACATTTCCTGGGTCCAGCTTTGTAAATTTGAGGATTATTTTGTCATATATAATCTGAATTCCTTTGGGTTTTGGACTGCTGATTGAGTAAAACAAGACATTTGAGGACACCATAGAATGCATGCTGCATTGTAGCAGTGTTACTCCATCCTGAGCTTCACGGAAACCAGTCTAACCAGTTTGGGAACATGATGATGTGGGCCTCGTCATTCCAGGCGCAGGGCTGTGAGTTTCATTTGTGAGTGCACAGTACATATTGCAAATCTGGTTTAAATCAGATTAACAGTGGGAGGTTGCAGCCAAACAGTGTGATTAAAAGATGTGCTCCAAAAATATCAGCTTATCCCCCATCAGACAGAAGCTACCTGCTTTAGGACAGGACAGCTGGAGCGGAGACAGGAAACTAATGCAGCCATCAATATAAGTATTAGTAATGGCCATAATGTGCACAGGATCTCAACTGTATACAAATTTAATAAATACTGTGGACAGCTCCTGACGCGTCGACTACTGGGTGAACATGTAATTATTAAACAAATAAGATGCTGATTTTGTTTACATAGTTTTTAGTATAGATATATAGTAAATCAGCCTCAGACACACATGGGCCTGCCTTCTGGCACTTGGAGTAAAATGCAGCTCATCTATTAATTATTAATGATTTGCTCATTTGAGTGATTGTTTGGAGTTCAGTCAACCAGGACAAAGAGCAGAAAGGAGAAGTTGAAGGAGAAGAAAGAAACCAACGAACAATAGCAGCTGAGCAGATGTGAGAAACTAATCCTTATAATAGATACCCAGTAGTTTACTCAATAGTGACATTACAGACACTCACGAATCATCATCGTATAGAGCTGTAAAATACATTGCATTGTGGGACTAGTAGCAGAAAGAGGTTTTTTTTTAATTGTGACCAAAATATACAGTGAGGAACATTTACTGTAAAAATCAACTTGTCTTTCACTACGATGCGTCCACAACAGGACAGTGATTTGGAACAAAAGTGAGTCATCAGTATGTGAGGTCATTGGTCCGTCATTGCTGTTACAGCTGCAATAAGCTAACTAAGTAAACAAGACTTCATTTGTCCAAAACGTAGAAAATCCCTCGTGTACAGCAGTGCTTCTCCGCTGGGTGCCAGCTGCTGCAAACCAAAGAAAACCTGACAACAAAAATATATTCCCCCTTTTGAGCTTTGTAGGTTACATTAAGCTTTATCTTGACCTTTTACTATTTTATTTATTTTGTAATCTGTCATTTTGTATCTCAGTGTATTTGTTTTGGTTTTTGCTTCTATTTAAAGGACAGTGTGTAGGATTTAGTGAAATTTGGCAGTGTAGATGCAGGTTGGAACCAACCTGCCTCACCCTCCTCTTCCAGCTGTGTCTTGTGATACACGGAGGAGTCTATGAAATATAAAAAAAAAATTAAATACACTTATTTAAAAACACATAATACTGTCAAAGTACTGCAAAATGTTGAATAAAAATACATTTCCTATTAGTCCCAATACTCTTATTTAAGTATTGTTCGTGTGTGGCCTGCGCATACATCCATTATTAGTTACAAGTTAAATCGTGATGGTAAGATAGTGAGAGGTATAATTAACTGTGGCTCCGAACAGGAACTATTAGGAAGAGAAGTGCAGATCAGGAGTACCCCTTTTCCACCAAATTAGTTTAGGATTCATCAGTCAACAATACATAATCTTCTTATACGGAATATTTTTTGAGGTGGTACGTAGTTTAAACAGTTTGAGAAACACTGTTATATTCCATTTCTGTCATTATTTTATACACTTCGACCTTTAAACCTTTAAGCTGCAGTTGTGGATTCCTGACTAAATAAAGGATGAATTAGTCACAGTGAAATTACGCTGATGGCTGTCTTCACCAAAGAGCCACATTCATTCGCCTCTTCGACTGCATCTGCCAATCTGCTTCTCATCAAACAATGGTCTTCCAGCCAGAGCAGCAGCAACAATGAGAGGAAGGGACCAGACTCTGTATTGTTTACTCTCCTCTCACACTCCCGGGGCATCCAGAAAATCTCTCTCTCTCTCTCTCTCTGGTTGCTGCAGGCTGTCCTGCAGTGGCCCTGGCCAGAGTGTATTTGGTATTATTCCCAGCTGAATGTAGGGTTCACTGAGGCTACGTGGATCAAACGAGCAACAGCTAGAATGTATCTGGTATTATGCAATGCAATGAGTGAATGAAGGTTCGCTGAGTGAGGATTTAATGTGTTTCTGTAAACAAACATAATGAGCACGAGCTGGAACATCATCTGAACGCTGACGGTTGAAGTGACAGGTGTGACACTTTGATGTGAGTGAGAGTCTCCCTCCCCTGGTGGTTTACAGATACTGCATAAACAGCTTAGACTGGATGGGATCTGGAAATATATAATACAATATAAGGACATTAATTAGACTCAGATGGCACCTAGTTAAAATTAGTGCGGGCTAATACAACAGTCCTACAGTAAATCCCTTCATGACATTATAATTTTGAGTTTTTGTTTAGAGACTGAGGCTGCAGTTTGTGAGACTATATGAAGTGTATTGTGTTGCCCCTGTGATCGATATATTGATTTATTATGACATTATTAGCATTTCACTGTTGGTTGGGGTGAAGCTAGATTTGACTACTTGTATATATAGTTCGGTAGTTCAGTGCAGTGGTTCCAAATCTAAGGGTCGGGCTCCCTCCGAAGGGTCACAAAAAAAATCTGAGAGAACTGACGAGGTAATAAAGAAGACAAACTAAAGAAAGAAGTTGTATTAATATATAAATAGAGGAGTTAATTGAGGAAATGACTCTTAGGTGGAACTCAAAGACATCTGAAACATGAGACAAGGGGCCCCAAACAGGTTCTTATTTTATGTAAGAGCCCACAAGCTAAAAAGTTAGGGAACCGCTGGTATTTAACAGTATGCTAGTGGCACGGCTGTAAAGGCAATGTCAGTCCAACTGAAATATCTCAACAACTGTTTCCTGTAGCGCCACCATGAGACTGTCTTAACAACCGCGGTGGATTACCAACACAATTTATTACACACTGTCATTTTGTTGTTTTTTTGGTGATCCCTTAACTTTCCATCTAGCGCCATCATCAGGTCGGAAGTTCAGTTTCTCCAATACTTTGTTTTATGACCAAATATCTGAGAAACTAATGACATTCCCATCAGCCTCAGCTTTACTTTGTGCTGATTAGAAAACGTTAGCATGCTAACATGCTGGACTAACATGGTGAACATTATACCTGC